TTCAGAATTCAAGGCTGTCGCCTTTCACAAGCATTAAATTGAAACAGAGCGTGGGGTTTGCTTTGGTTTCTGGGCATGAATGTTGCATCATCCATTGGCTCTGCCTGCTGGCTGATAAGAATGGTACCCACAGGCTGAGCAGAGCAGAAGGCACGATGCATGAAAAACCACATACGCTGCTAAATCTAATTTCAGGTGTCTAGCCTCTCTAGTTAATTTTTACTCCCCAGGTCACATGTAATTAATTCTGAATTAGGTAACCCAAAAATGTATAATCAAGTTATAGTGCTCTGCATGTGTGAGCACAGAGTTGCTCTGACGATAGAACTGACAAGATCGCCTGTATTTTATGATCATCCTTGCACTGGGAATACCCAATTGATTTACTTTGCAGAAGGCATTCTCTCTCCACAGACAGAGAACAAAAATCCTACTTGCTCATTTTAAGACTAGATCACGACCCAGATAGACACAGCCCCCAGGGACAGACATCACACATAAACTGGGTTAAGTGATCAGAAACTGGTTGAAACCTGTAACAGAATAGATGTTCAGTGCACATAAATAAGTTTGAAAATGGCTGAAATAGGTTTGAGATAAACCTGGTTGAATGTAGTATAAGACTTAACTGATTTGCGTCAAACCAGTTAATGCAACATCTGTCCCACATCCCTTGCTGGTTTAAGATAAACCAGACACCCCAAGCATCCTGGCATGCCCTCTGGGCTGGGTGAGGCTCTCTGCTCCAGCTGCAGCATTGACCCTGCCCCTTTGCTCTCTAGCTGGAGCTGGGACTGACCCTAGCAGAGACACCAGCCAGCATGGCCCCATTAAGGCACAGTGGGCAGGGAGGGGGTTAAAATTCCCTTCCTTCCCCCACTGCAACTGGGGTCAGCTTGTCTGCCAAGGAGCAGAGGGGATGGGGGCTGCAACAGAGGCCCCTGGAGCTGCCAAACCCCAGCTCCAGGGAAGGGAGGGAGGGAGAAATTAACCCTTCTCCCTGCCCCCTTCACCTTAATGGGGCCATGCTGGGTAGGTTGTCCCACAGGGCGGGGAGGGGGGCTCTGTTCTGTGCTGGGGGGACTCTTTCCCCTTCTCCCAGGCTGGGGATGGGGACTTTTCCTCCTCCTCCCCTTTCCCCGCCTGCCACTGCAGAGCTGGGATGGGGGGCTCCAAGACATGCTACCCAGCCTGAATGGGGGTAGGGGCACGGGGGGGCTCTGTTCCATGCTGGGGGGGGACTCTTCCCCCTCCTCTCCCTGCCGCCAAAGCAGCAGCAGGAGCACAGAGCTCAGCTGGGCAGGGTGCGGGTATGAGGGAGGGTGGGAAGTATAGGGACCCCTCCACTATCCCCATGGCACGCAGCCTCTGCTGCCTGGCAACAGCAGCAGGTGGGGAGGTCAGAGTCCTGGTGCCCAGTGCAGGTGTGGCTTCAGCCAGCCCTGCATGAGAGGAGAGAGCAGAGCATGCCTTATCCCCCTGGCTCTGCTCCCTGAGTCTGAGCCTGCAGCTCCCGCCCTTGCAGTGAGGGAAGCCCCACACTGGAACCAGCTGCTTCCCTCCCCCTGGACTGTGCAGGGCCCTGCACTCCACCCTCTGCTTCCCTGCAGAGTCCAGCACAGGGCCTCCCCATGCAAGTGTGGAGCTGCAGGTGCAGCGCAAAGTGATGATATAGGCAGTCAACACTGCGCTGGGGGTGAGGATTGCAGGCCTATGCAGCCTGCCCGGCTGCTTCTATCCCCACAGCTCCACTCCATGCCTGCAGCTTGGCACTCACACAAGGAAGCCCCATGCTGGACTCTGCAGGGAAGTAGGGCATATGGCTCCCTCCACTCCTGGCAGTGTGGGGCCCTGCACAGTGGGGACTGGGGGAATCATCTGGCTCCAGCATGGGGCTTCCTCCGGGGCAAGGGCTGGAGCTGCAGGCTCAAGCTCAGGGAGCAGAGCTGTGGGGGTAAGGCAGGCTCCACTTTCTCCTTCATACAGCACTGGCCGGAGATGCGCTTGCACTGGGCACAAACACCCTGACCTCCCCACCTGCTGCTGTTGCCAGGCAGCGGGGGCTGCACACCATGGGGGGAGTGTGTGGGAGTCCCTACATCTGCCACCCTCCCTTGCACCCCATATACCACACCCTGCCCGGCTGAGCTCCACGGTCCTGCTGCCCCTCTGAGGGAAGGAAAAGGAGAGGGGAAGAGTTCCCCCCAGCATGGAACAGAGCCTCCCGCTGCCCTGGGGGGTGAGGAGTTGGGAGAAGAGCTCCCCTCTGGGGCTGGGCAGCATCCCATAGAGCCCCCCCCCCCCTGCAAAGGTGGTGGAGAAGCAGGGGGAAGAGTCCCCCTCTGGGACCAGGAAGTCTCACAGACCCCCATGCCTAACCCCACTGCAGGAGGGAGGAGGAGGGGGAAGAGCCCCCCCCCCCAGCACTGAACAGGGCCCCTCTCCTGGCCCCACAGCAGTGGGGGAGAGGGAGAAGGGGAAGAGTTCCCCTCTCCGGCCAGCTGTCAGTGAACCATTGGGGCGGGCCTGCGGGGGCCTGGCCACACCCCCTCCTCAGCTCAGCTTCCCTGTTGGAAGGGAGGGCTGCTCTAGCACCCCCAGGCTTCCGGCTTGAGCCACTGCAGGCATGTGCCAAACGTCTGTTGACTTGCAAACTTGTTCACTCTGCAGGTTAGACTAACCTGCAAAGACTGAATCAATTCAGACTCAGGCTTTTTGAATGTCTGCCCCTAGCCCAGGGGACATAACAGGAGGCAGTTTTCCTTTCCCTTTAAACAGAAGAGACCAAGTCCTGCAAACCTCATATTCTCCCACCCCTGCACAAGAGGGTGGTGGGTAAGTGAGATGGGTTGAGTGTCAGCAGAGGTTTGGCCCCAGGCCCCCAATCAGTCAGCCAGCAGAGCCAGACCAGTGCCAAGGACCATCACAGATTGAATCCAGGGAATCCAGGGAAAAGTCTGTCTCTGTCACAGCCAGGCAGTCTTCCCTGTGCCCTTCCCTGGGCTGCTTGTGGAGTAGCATACTTATGCTCTACCCTGTACACAGGCTCCTGTGGTCCTCACTTGTGTCTCAAGGTATTAGAAGAACAATCGGTCCTGGATTAAATGTATCCTGCACCACAAATCCATCACTTTCCCTGTGC